GATTGTGATATTAAACTATATTTAAAAATTTATTAAATTATTACATTAAATATAAAACATATTTAACATAATGTTATTATTATAACTAATTAATTCTCATGTAAATAAATTTTCATAAAAAACATGTTTAAAAATTGTAATTTAATTGTAATTTCCGTCAACCCATTGGTTGAGATTTAAATATTTTTCATTTGTTATAAAATAAACATTGTTTTCATATAAATTGAGTTTTAAATTATTAAATTCACACCAAAAAAATAAATAAAATATAATTAATATAATTGTTAAAAGCAATGGCCCGATACGAGTATATCGGATAACTAGATGTTGATGCACTTTCACATACAAGTGGACAGGCATTCACAGCATCAGTGCATTCAACACACAAATCAATGGTTTATTAAATGTTTGTCTCAAATTTAAACACCGTTTTAGGATTTAACTCAAAAACTCGATATAAAATAGAGTATTAATTGCGATAAGTTATAAATTAAATAAATAGCTGTTGTGTTAATGATAAACGAGACGTTAGATTAGATAAACTCTTGAGAAGTGTGTGCTCTCTATCGTTGAAGAAACGATTACTGTCTTCTCGTCATTCAAGACAATAGTAACTGTATTGCGGACAACAGACTGAGACTCAGACAGCAATTTAGACCATAGACTATAAACATAGGAAGTTTGGGGCTTTGACTTGAGCTCAGGTATCCTTAATACAAATGGTTTGCTCTTAAATGTGAATACTATGTAAACCCTAAACAAGATTTAAGTGAAAAATGTGAACAAATGTATATTAAAATGCATTTCACTTTATTTGAATTGATTTGACAATCATATTGTGGTTAACAATCAAAACACTTGATCGCAAATAAAAACCAAATGTAAAACTAAAACAAGTGTTTAAATCTTCTGGAAGGCGGCGATGTCTACGGACTGGACAAAGTCCTCGAAGCCCTCAATAGCTTCGGTCAACTCATCGATACTCACTATAAGACAAAACAATCAATTAATTTACCACTAAATCAGATGATAATGAATGAGTGGACAAACCTTTATCGTCTTCGACAACGCACACGATCTGCAGCTTAAAGATGCCGTAAGCGAGTGGAACCAATTTGGCTGATTATGACAATACAATTAGCGGTTAGTTTTGGTATAACAAACACATAGACAGACAGTAATGTCTGAAATCAATTATCACAAAATGCTTGTAATCAAAGACACGTACAAATGCCCCAATGGAGTCCATCCATGGCAACGGTGCGCACCTTAGCCTCCAATTCCTTCATGTCTGTCTCGTCGTCCCACGGCTTCACATCCAGAATGACATTGGATTTGGCGATCACTGCCGCCTCTGATCCACAAATACGCGAAGAATGACACCAATTAATTATCACATTTTCATAAAACAATAGCAACAAAATATGGACTCACTTTTGGACTTCTTCTCCTGATAGGCGGCCACTCTCTCGGCCTTTGCCTTCTCTGCCTCCTCGTC